AATTACCTTGGGCTCCATTTATTAGAAATTCCATTGTGTTGCGATAATGACACAAGGAAGGCAAATATGCCAGAAAGCGCATACAGTGGTATATCTAACTTGGGAGGACAAGGGCTGTATTAGAAATGTTCATGATCCCAATAATCAGCAGATCCAGACAGTTCTCTGAAGCCAACTGGCAATAAAGCAGCTGTAGAACATCTGTAGACTCTTAAGGAAGGTCTTTCGGCCTGAAAAACCCTTTAAAACATATCAAACTAATAATATGGATTTATGTTTTCATCTTGTGAGGTAGCTGCGGGTGCCCCTTGCAGTTTCTGCTAATCGTCAAGGATAACAGTGTTTTAACACAAAATCTCCTTCACAGCCCATTTTCTTCAGTTTTGAACTTGCAATCAAGCCAATGCTAAATTGGTAAGACCGCAGTACTTCCAAAGCCAGATGTAATTTCACAAACAGATTTATGACTTTGCTGCATTAGGTCTGTGAAGAAAACGTTGTAAATAATGCAACTCTGAAATCATATCCTTTCAAACTGACAGCTATTACTTCAGATTTTCTGAAGCTTTGTATTTAAGACCCACTACTGCTAAATCCTTAGTTTGTGACCATCAGCAGGATTGTAAAATAAGACCATTTGGCAGCCGATCAAGAACAAAGAACCACTAAGACATGCTTCTCTGCCTCCTTTGCTGGCAGGAAGATGCAACCCCCCTGGCAATGTAAGACTGGATGTAACCTTTAGTCAAAAACAGGCTTAATGTTAAGTCACACTTTGATAGCAGAGACAATGTTTTAACATAGAATATATAGATGATCAAATAAATTACAAATGGATCAAGGGAAAGTAGGAGAGCAAAGATATGTGGACTTGGTGCAATTCTCCTCTCATGTCAATCAATGCAGACCCAATGCAGTCCTTCATTTCCAGTAATATCTAGTAGAAGAAGAGCCCTCCTGGATCAGGCACCCAGATCAGGTCATCCTCTTCTTATTGTGGTCAAACAGATGCTTATGGGAAGCATGCAAGCAGGACTTTGCAGTTCCTAGCAATTGGTATTCAGGAACACACTGCCTCCAACAGTGGAGACAGATTATAACCATCATGGGTACTAGCCAGTGATAGCGTTATCCTAAGGCTACATGGTGGCAGGAGAATCTCTACGACTGCAGGAAAATGGCCTTCACAAAGAGGAACATTTTTTTTGTTAAGCTATCTGGCTACTCTGCAATGGTAGGTACATGCAATGTACAACCTGCCCCTGACCTTTACTGATCAATAGAGCCCAATATTAAGGACACTTCTCATTTTTATAACCGTTAAAATGAAAACAGCTTTTAACAAATAGCAGAGGTTTCTTGACATATTGTCATTCCAGAGTTGCTCTTTTCTCTCTTTCTTCTTTTTTAGAACTTCAGCTTCACAATATTATTATACAAGCAATCTCACATCTGGATATATTAGAAAAACACAAACCTATAAAAAATAAGGTCTTACTGGCAAAACCCTATCGTTGGCGATTAAAATATAAGCACGTTTTAATGCCTCACAAAAAACGTCCGTGATTTTTATAATGATGAAATTGCAGTTGGTGAATTATTTATGTCAGATCAGCACTTATTAAAATTTGTCCCTTTGACTTATCTAATATTCCAAATAGTTAAACAAGCCATGATCAAGCAGCAGCACCAGGAGCCAATACATTAAAGATTGCAGTCTCTGCTCCTTTCTCACATCTGAAGAAAATTTGACTTTTCAGCTTTTCCTTACAATCCAACCTCAACCATTCTGTGGTCATTATACTAAAAAAATAAAATAAAACTGGTGGTCTACCATTTTGGCAAGTCTATCACAAGTCAAGTAATATGAAAGTACCACTCTAGAAACTGTTGCACAAGTACCGCAATGTACTCGGCAAAGTGTACAACAAGTAGTGTTTAACAATATCTGCACAACAAAAGTACGGAAACAGAAATAAATTGTTCCATTTGAATCAATCCAATACACATTCTTAAATGAATCAGTCCTTTATTGATTCCATCTCTCCCCCAATTTTACAGCTGGAGAACTGAGACAGATAAGTAACTTAGCATATTCATGGCAAATAAAAAAATTAAAAATTCAAGCACACCATAAACAACTTACAACAGAAATATTAGACCTCAGATTAGTTATTTGCATACTTATGGGTCGAGATGGAGATACTGAACTGTATCAGTTAGGAAACATCCTGTGAAATTTCACAGATGTGGTGGTTATTTTGGGAACAAGGACAATTCCGGAAACTCCTCAACAATCAACTTGCCATCTTCTCTCCCCAATCAGTTCCCAGCCCATACTACCATACAAAGAAAGGCCTCAAGTTCTTGCCTACAAGAGATTTCTTTCTATTCTTGATGAGCTCCTGCTAACTGAACCTAGTGTCCAAAACACCATTAAAGAAAAACCATTTGACTCTATCCAAACATTTTCAACTTGGCAATACTGCATAACTGAGAAGGCGAGGTAAAACGAAAGGAAGTTCTGAAAGGCAGAGAAAGGGTGGGCAAGAAGGGGAAGGAAACGATGAAATGTCAATCATTCTTCTAACTACTATATGAAAGGCAAAATTTAAAGTACACAAGAATATTCAGTCTAATTAGCAGCAGGTCAAGGTGAAGACGAAGAGCTTGCAGGAAGGGATCAGTTTATTTTATGTTTAAGAAGAAATATTGAAATATAAAAACTGAAAACAGGTGAAGATTTTTGTTTACATATCGCCATGCAATTTTTGGCGGCCATAATCCATAGCTAGCCACAAACAACAGTTGCCACAGAATAACAATAACTGACCAATATTAGCAGCATTTCTTAAGGTATTTCAATTTTTTGGGTGCATCTGTCTTCTAAATGTTGCTTTATATTAAGTTGAATATCTCAAATAATGTACACCATATTAATTAATCCATTTGTCATAAAATTACAATAAAAGATGAAACATACGTAAAAGGAGATCACAGTATGTACCAGATGTTACAAATTCTCAAGACACTGGAAATTCAACACCAGGTGGTTATGTCGGCCTAATGAAGCAACATCTCTACTCTCCAGGGACATGAAGGGTGCAGTTGGAGGCTCTCAGATATTGCTTAAAATATGCCATTTGTTATGCATTAATTGAACAGTTTGAAATCCTGCTTTTTGTATAGTGGAGCCATATACGCGTTTAATTTACACAATATCATATGGAAATTTCTGCTGAGTGTTTGAGCCAGCTTTCATTCAAGTTAGATACTTTTGTTACTTGAGCTTACAGTTGATCAACCGATTTTGATTAATGAAGCAATAACTTAACCATATGTTATTTAAAATTAAAATTGAATTTCTTGCAGAATATATATATACTATGTGTTAAAGGCCACACAGCCAGAGTTCAGGTCACTGCCATAACAATAAACTTCAATAAAATTAGCGGAACATAAAGTGCGACCTTTGGCAATCTCTAATGAACTTAAGGGCATCTAAATATATTTTCTTATCATTGAGTACTGCACTCTAAGTTATTACAGCTATGTGTGCCACGTGGTATGACCTCATGCAATTGAATCCTCCTGTAGCAAGTTATGCCTAGTTTTCAATGCCAATTGAACTAGGGAACAATATGAGAAGTAACAATCAGAAGAGTAAAGTAAAATGATTCCCATACCTTGCTAAATGTAAATGTAAATCAGGGAAGCCTATATGGTGCCCCCCATGTGATGCTGGGCTACAATTTCCATCACCTGTGACCATTGGCTATTCTGGCTGGGGCTGATGGGAGTTGTAATCCAACATGTGGAGGACATTGCAATGTCTGCCTCTGATCTAGATATTGTTAAGAGTGAACATCATCTCAAAAGTAGTTTCCAAAAGTGAAAATACAAGGTAGTAGATGCAAGACAAAGCAGGGCCAGTGCTCCTCAGTTTCTTCCACTTTGTGGAACAAATACAGGAGAAGCTAGAGAGCAATTTAAATCCACAGAGCTCAATTAAAGGGCTTGCTCCAGCAGCCCCAGACCAGCAATCCTCAGATGCAGATCCTTCCACAACAGTAGTCCTGAGAAGGAGTTGGTGCCACTCCCCAACCTTTGCTCTGTGAAACTGCTGGCACATCTCATGCATTGAACCTTGAGGAGATCCTCCTGCCACTGGACTCTTGATGACCAGACCACAGACTCCTTGGAGGGATCAGGAGACCCCCCGAGCTTTCCTCTAGGGCATGGGTAGGCTAACTAAGGCTCGGGGGCCAGATTCAGCCCAATCGCCTTCTAAATCTGGCCTGCGGGCAGTTCAGTGTCCTTTTATTTAAAATGCATCTCTGGGTTATTTGTAGGGCCTGCCTGGTGTTTTTACATGAGTAGAATGTGTGCTTTTATTTAAAATGCATATCTGGGTTATTTGTGGGGCATAGGAATTCGTTCCCCGCCTTCAAAATATAGTCCGGCCCCCCACAAGGTCTGAGGGACAGTGGACCGGCCCCCGGCTGAAAAAGTTTGCTGACCCCTGCTCTAGGGAGTCCTCACAGCTTGAAACTCCAGTCTAGAGGAACATACCAGTTCTTTAACAGTCCAACTGCAGCATAAGGCAGACAGGCTGCCATCTCTTCCAGTTGCTCTAAGAAACCACTGTGTAACTCCTGCCTTAGCTAACCTTGGTCATTATCCTCGCTTTGCCTGCCCTATTCATCTGTTACCTTCCCTTCTGGTTCCTGGCCTACTGATTTCCACCTTGTTTGGGTTATCACCTTCCTTTGGTGGTGGACATCACTATGGATCAGGACATCATGTGGCTCAGTCCCTTTGCCCATGAGCGTGACCTGAGATCTGTAGATGCTTCATCTTGACTCATCATACAGAAGCTTAATAAAACATGCAAGGCAAGTTAAAGAAGCATTCACTCAATCCACGTGCTGCAGAGCATAATGCAAACTGACCTTGAATGTGCACCATCCAGCAATTTGCAGGGAATAGTGATTCAGATGTGTTAAATAAAAGGAAATTTCTAACTGTTGTCCTTAATGTAATATGCAGAGTGTCCTTGTCCTGAGTTCTGTAAGTAGCAGTACGTGATCAGTTATTTAGCACAAAATTACCAGGACAGAAATGATATATTGTATACCTATATTCAGACCTTCCTAAGAAGCCTGTAGATTATCCGAAAGAGAACGTCCTTTTGAAGTAACAGAAAAGTATTTCAAGTGAAAGTTAAAGATTATTTAATGTTAGTGAAGAGTGGGTAAAATCCTTTAACTTATGGACTGAAGGAAGGAACAAGAAAAAAGTCAGAGCTATGAGATCACATTTACTGCATGAATATTGGTAAATAGTCTATAACACAAGCTACTCTCCCTTTCTTACACACATTGCTCCTGATAATATCTGCACCAAACAAACTTAAAATTAATGCAGTTTCTATATTCAACACATCCTTTAGAGTCTCTTAGCGAGCATGAACTAGATGGACCAAGAAACAAAAGATATGTACAGTGGTACCTTGGGTTACGAACAGCCCAGTTAATGAACTATTTGGATCATGAACACTTCATCTCTGGAAATGAGTATTCCGATTTGCGTATTATTTTTTTGGAATGCGAATTTGCAGGCTCTGGCTGTGGTAGGACTTGGTAGGCAGCGCCATGGCCCAGAACTAGGCCTCAGCACCTGTGTGGACTTGATTCAGCCTCCGCTGCCGGGCTCTCACCGCGGGAGGCCTCAGTAGGCCGCTCCACGGCCCAGAGCTAGACCGCGCAACCCGTGAAGCCTGGATTCGGCCCCTGCTGTCGGGGGAAGAAGACACCAGCTGCAGGAGGCCTAGCAGGCCGCACCGCGGCCCTCATCCCGCCCCCAAAGCCGTGAAAGCAGTGCCGGCCATAGAAGGCCCAGCAGGCCACACCGCAGCTCCAAATCCCGACGAGGAACACTTACCTAACCAAGACCAAGAGCGAAGTCCAGCGGTGAACCTGCTAAGAAAACAAAGTGAGCCTGGGCCGAAAAGCATCAGCCCTTTACTGGCCCTGGCCCCACCCCCAGCTGGTAGCAAGGTGAGTGGCACCTGGCCAGGTAAGCCCACCCACCCTGTGGGAGGGGGGGGAGTGGAAAATTTTGGGATTCTGCCTTGGTCCCTTGTTTTTGGGAGTCTGCCTTGTGCCTTTGTCTCTGCTTTGTTCCTTCGCTTTGGGGACTTTTGGGGGACGCTGCCTTGTGCCATTGTTTTGGGGACTGTGTGGAACTCAGTTCAGCTACTTATTGACGGACTGTGGGACTGCTAACATGGATAAAAGCAGCAAAGGGAAGAGAACCATGATAACTCTAAGAGGTAAAGAAGCAAATTATTTCTAAGTGTGAAAGTGGGGTCCGTGTAAGTCAGGGGTTGGCAAACTACGGCTCCCGGGCTGGATGAGGTCCGCCTGGGTCCTAGAGCCGGCCTGCCCGGCCATTTAAGAACCCGCCACAAAGCTGAGACTCCTGGTGATGGGTGGAAGAGGCTGAGCGGTAGCGGCTCTGGCAATCAAACACTATGCCTGATTTACTACCTCAGTGTGGCACGGGGATGTCTCTGCCAATCAAACGCCTCACCTGGTTTACCTCAGTGACGTTTGATTGGCAGAGACGTCCCCGCGCTGCGCTGAGGTAAACCAGATTGCCAGAGCCGCCGCCGCTCGGTCTCTTCCTCCTGTCACCTTGGAAGCTCCGTCCGGGCAGTTAAGCTGGCTTCCGGCAGCCCTGCTTCATGATGGGCGGCTCCAACGCCAATAAAAGGTGCAGGTCTGGGCGGCACCGCTCGCCTCCTTCACATGCCCTCTACTCCTTGTTTCGGGTAGCGGGCCGGGCTGCCTTTGCTTGCTTAATTACCCTGATATCATTAATATTAATATTATTAGTATTCATATTGTTTTGTGCCCCCAGAAGCTGAGCGTGCACACAGAGTTAGATGGTAGAAGGACAAAAATCCCCTTCCCCCTCTTTCTCTCTGCTTTCCCACAAGCTTTTCTCCTCTTGTTCTCCCTCCAAGTCAGGCCATTGGGGAAATAATTGTAGTAATAATAATAATCTTCCTCCTGCTGCTGCCGCTGCCTTGGTGCTCCTATGGGCCACAGAGCGGAGCGGACGAGGTCACTCTGCCTACCCACTTCATGAGAAGAAGCAGCAGCGGTGGTGGCTGTGGCAGCTCTTTCTCTAGACAGGGAGGAAGCCTGTTTCACGCTGCCGCCGCCAGCCCTTTGCCGAATGAGGCAGGCGGCAAACCAAGGAGGAGGCTGGGGCTGGGGTGGGTGGGGAGGAGGGCTCCTTGCCTCCCCGCCTCTTCTTCCAGCTCCCTCCTGGTGCCGCTTCTCCGGAGCTGCCATCTCTCTTTCGCCTCGGCCATTGTCTGCATATTTAACTTGCCCCCTTTTTCCCCTCTGTGGGGTGATTGTGGGTCTGTGTGTGTGTGTGTTTTGGGGGGTAGCAGGAGGATGAGCGGCATGGTGGTGAGTGAGCTAGTCTGTTGAGGAGCCTTGCCCACCCCGATTTAATGCACACTATTTTATTTTATTACACCTGCCCTTCCCCCGCCCCATTCTTCCCAGTGTGCATAGGAATTTGTTCATCCCCCCCCCATATAATCCAGCCCCCCAACAAGGTCTGAGGGACAGTGGACCGGCCCCCTGCTGAAAACGTTTGCTGACCCCTGGTGTAAGTGATCTGGCAACGCAGTTTGGTATGGCCAAATCTACAATTTGTACCATCTTAAAAAATAAGGATGCCATTAAGGGGGCCAGTGTTGCAAAAGGTGTTAAAACACTCACAAAGCAACGAAGACAGACAATGGAAGAAATGGAAAAGCTGCTTTTAATATGGATAACCGAAAAACAGTTGGCCGGTGACAGCATTTCTGAAAGCATAATTTGTGAAAAAGCTTTACATTTGCATGCCGACCTTATCGCAAATGCCCCTGGAGCAAGTGCTGAGGTTGAGAGTTTCAAGGTAAGCAGAGGGTGGTTTGAAAATTTTAAGAAGAGAACTGGCATCCACAGTGTTGATCGACACGGTGAAGCTGCCAGTGCCAACAAATTAGATGCTGACCGATTTGTTTTGGAATTTAAAGATTATGTTGAGTCACAGGGCTTCGTTCCCCAACAAATTTTCAACTGTGATGAGACAGGCCTCTTTTGGAAGAAAATGCCAAAGAGGACCAACATCACAAAAGAGGAGAAAGCGTAAGCCCATGAAAGATAGGCTAACCCTTTTATTTTGTGCAAATACAAGTGGAGATTTTAAGTTGAAGCCTTTGCTAGTCTACCATTCCGAGAATCCCAGGATATTTAAGAAGAACAATGTCATAAAAAGCAAACTGCATGTGATGTGGAGGGCGAACAGCAGAGCTTGGGTAACAAGACAATTTTTTATTGAGTTCGGGCCAAGTGTGAAAAAATACCTCCAGGACAAAAATCTTCCAATGAAGTGCCTGTTTCTTATGGGTAATGCTCCAGGTCATCCTCCAGGCTTGGAGGATGAGTTGTTGGAAGAGTTTGCGTTCATCAGTGTAAAGTTTTTGCCCCCAACGCAACCTCTTTCATCCAGCCCATGGACCAGTAGGTCATATCTAATTTTAAGAAGCTTTACGCCAAAGCATTGTTCCAAAGGTGCTTTGAGGTGACCTTGGACACAGAGCTAACCTTAAGAGAGTTCTGGAAGAATCATTTTAATATCCTCCATTGCTTACATATTGATAGACAAAGGATGGAGAGAACACTGAAGGCAGCATGGAAGAAACTGTGGCCAGAAGCTGTCCCAGAACATGTAACAGAGGCTGTTGAAGAGGATGCTCTTCTTGTTGAGGATATTGTGTCTCTGGGAAATTCCATGGGCTTGGAAGTAAGTGGTGCTGATGTAGAGGAGTTAGTGGAGGAGCACAGGACTGAGCTCAACACAGAAGAACTTCAAAACATTCTGATGGAGCAGCAAAAGGCGGCAACTGAGGAAATATCTTCAGAGGAGGAGAGCAGAGAAAGTCTATCTACAGCAACAATCAAATAAATGTTTGCAAAATGGGATGAAGTGCAAACTATTGCTGAAAAATATCACCCTGAAAAAGCTGCTGTAAGTCATGCCACTAACACCTGCAATGTCTCACTTTAGACATGTTTTAAAACATCGGCAAAAGCAAGTCTCAATTTTTGGTAAGGAAAAGATCCAGTGAGTCTGAACCAGGTGGCGGTGGTGTAGGTGGCAGTGGTGTAAAAAAAAGCAAGGGAAGGAATGGCAGGAGAGGAGTCACCAATTGTGAATCTGGAAGAGGACCCCAACCCCCCATCCAAACAATGACTATCATCAGTGCAGGTAAGAAAGAAAAAAATCACATTTTCATTTTTTTAAATCATCAATACTGTTTTATTGATTGTACAGTACAGTACATTGTTTATTGCTTTCATTTTATGGATCAATGGCCTCATTGGATAGTAAAATTCATGTTCAATTGCTGTTTTAGGGGTTGTTTTTCATCATTTGGAACGGATTAATCAGTTTACCATTACTTTGTATGGGAAAGCACACCTTGGTTTAAGAACGCTTTGGTTTAAGAACCGGCTTCCGAAATGGATTAAGTTCATAAACCAAGGTACCACTGTAATGAGGGTGCCAGGCGAGCCTCCCGGGGGAGAGCATTCCATAAGCTGAGAGCCATCACAGAAAAAGCCCATTTTTGTGTTTCCACCCTCCGGACCATTGGAGTTGTCTATGCAGGATAAGACTGTGTAAAATTTTATGTAGGAAGGATACCTGAGTGAACACAATGCCTGGTTAATGCACCCAAAAAGTCTGATGCGCTGCAATCTTGGGACCGTACCACTTCATAATGTGGAGGTCGGTTCAATACCCCCAAGTCAAAACCTTCCTGCTCAGGAAAGCTAGTATATCAGGAAGAAGTGGTCTGGATGTGCCTTCATCCCAACATGCTACTTTGATTTATCAGAGAACACTGAGATATAGAATCTGCCCTCTGTGTTCTAAAAGGGAAAAATATCTACATTTTTTTTTAGTAACTAAACAAATAGGACTAGCAGTGAAATTTATCTGTGTGGAAAGCTCCTGACCAAGGTCCTATCCAGCCATGCACTCCTCTGGGATACGCCATTCTCCCTCCCCTCTGGTTTTCTTTTTCTTTTATCCCAGTCCATCTTTTTATTTTTTAAAAAAATTTCTGACATTACAGAACTAAACTCAAATGTATTAATTCCACTCTTACATCTCATGACATAACAGAAAAACTTCATGAGCCAAGAAAGGGGGAGAAGCTTATAAACTAAAATATGAATCAGCATTTTAACAGCTGAACAGAGAAAGGGAATTAAAATGCTGCAATTTTTTTTAAAAAAACATGAGTAGATGGGTAAAGCATGTAGAACTGAAAATTTACAAACTAGTTAAAACCTGGAATCGCTGACTGCTCAGAAACTACACAGATGGACCGTGGGGATGAACAGCAGAAACAGGTAATGAGTGAGGCGGTTGCATTGTCCTAGATGCTTCCCATTCCACCAGTCTCCAAAGAAAGCCTGATATTAATTAGATATTGAGCCAGGCTAATGCTGGCTGCAGATCCAGTTATGGTAACCTGCCTGTCAGTAGATCCTTCCACTGGATTGGCAATTTTGATCTGCGCCCCAGACATCTGGCGAATCTCATTGATCTTGGCGCCTTGACGCCCAATGATGCATCCAATCAGATCATTTGGAATGGTGAGTTCATGAGAAATAGTTTGAGCTGATGCATCCAAACCATGGAATCCAGTGTTGCCATGAGACATTGGAAAGTGTGACTGTTGCATTGCCAACTGTTGCAGCTTGGTCAGATCTGGCTGTGGAATGGCATACTGTCCTTGAATGGTATAGGCCTCTTGAGGTGGTCCCTCCAGGTCAGAGTTGAGGCACACTGATGGGGTGGTGTGGAGGTTACTTGCACTGCCGCTGCTGTACCTGTCCTGACCGCCTGCAAAGATGACAGGAGAACTGGATGGCTTGGGTCGGTAGGGGATGGTGACACCCTTTGGGGGAGACTCCAGCATGACCACACATAACTGCCTCCCCTCTGGTTTTCTGACCACCTACTGCAACCATTCATAACAATGCCCACTGAACTGTTTCTGGTGCCCCTCTTAGGGTTTTTATTTTTTTTTAAAAAAGGAATTCTACAAACCTTGGGTCAAGCCTGCTGGTGAATGGAGGCTGCAGAATGGGGGGTAGCAAGACTGAATTCTCTTCAATATAAATAAAATGATATTCTCTGAATTAAGTATCAGACAGAAGGCTGCATTAGAATCCTGCTAGTTCCAGCCATTCTATGTATAGGACACAGACACCTATCCCTATCCCTATCTCTGAAGGAGCATGCACTTCTGTAATTCCCACAATTGCAGTCTAAAGGGCTGTCACATGGAGGTTGGAGCAAGTTTGTTTTCTCCTGCTTTGGAGGGTAGGACCCAAACCAATGGATTCAAGTTACAGGGAGATTCCCACTAAACACTAGGAAGAACTTCCTAATATTAAGAGCTGTTCAATAGTGGAACAGTCTCCCATGAGAGGTGGTGCACTCTCCTTCACTGGAGGTTTTTAAACAGAGGTTGGATGGCCATCTGTCATGGATGATCTAGTTGAGATTCCTGCATTGCGAGGGGTTGGAATAGAAGACCCCTGGGGTCCCTTTTAACTCTATGATTCTATGACAGAGTACAGAAGCACCTTGATGAGTTATTTCTATCTGCAGAATGGAACTAAAAATCACCTTACACCACAGGTCTCATTGTCAGAATAACAAAGAGAATGGTGCGTTTAAAAACTTACATATTACACAAAGCATTAACTGCATGAATGATACAGATTGCAACTGGAATGTCCATACTCTCCAGATTCTTAATTTCTGACTTAAAGAAAAAAACACCCCAAAGGTGCTAGATGCAGCCCTTCTGTATTGTATTAAAGATCTTACCATATGAATCTGAAACAATATTTACAAATGTTACTTATAAATATTTTGAAACTGCAGTTATCTTCCCTAAAGAACAATTTGGTAAACATTCTGCTGATTTGTACTCACCCTTTCTTTCTGCTCACGTGGGCTTTATTTCCAAGCCTATTCAATATAATGTTTTCCAAGCAGGGACCATGTGAATTGTTCATATAAATGGAGCAAATTAAACTGTCTCCACATATATCCTATCACATTTGTAGCCCTGATTTCTCTCCTTAACACGTGGCCAAGACAGCGTATTATCTCCCTGCAGAGGTTGACCTCAGGATATTAGATTCTGCCACACAGCTCTCTTGTACTAAACTGAGGGGAAACACTTAATCACCCCTGCCTTTTCAGGGAAAAATCAACTTTAAATTTGCCATGATGAAAAATCAATAAAGCAGTAATTGCTTGGCTTATCATTGTGTGGAGGAACAAATTGGGAAGCGAAGCTTAGCGTCCACACAGATTTCAGTGAAACACATGGAGTTTCAGGATCACTAAGCTAGAAAAGGGAAAGGTCTCAGAGCGATAATTAAATCTACTCATGCTGATTTTCTGCCAAATTTATTTCCCAAGTGTA